CTCTTTTTGCCAAATAGGGTATGTAGTATCATGCTGAAAGAATAAATTAGAAAATTAGCAACACAAATATACTTTGATATGCAAAACAATTGGAATTCATAGATTTAATGATATGATAGAGTAAAAAAATAAATAAATACCAAAAGTTTGAAGTCAAATTTAAGATTCATGTTAAGCTGTCATAATATAGCAATAAGACATTTTAATAAGATCCACATGGGCATCATATCACTATATCGCTGGTGACACATTGTCATCCAACTTATGAACTAATTAGATGCTCTGGCAATAAAATATGGAATTAATATTGTTCCCTGTAATATTCTGGTACGTTCTCAAAGCAATTGGATTTTAGCTGATGGCTACCAATTTAAAAAAAAACAAACATGTATTTGTGTCTTTGTACAAATTACTCATAATTTAAACCCAGAAATTATCACCTTCAGGCAGAAATGATAATATGTTATTTCTAATATGTTTTTTATCTTGTGATAATGAAGCTGGAGCAAACTTTTAATTTCATGGCATATTGTGGCAGCATTATACACTATTTTAACCCCTTCGTTTGCAATCCCTGCAGAATGAACAGAAAAAGGCAAACATTACAATTGTGTATATTTAGTTCATTTTTTTTTTTTTTTACACTTTTAGCAATCTGTGCACTAAATTGTTGTTATGACCTAAGTTAACATGCTAGCTAATTATCCCAGGTGTTAAAAAGGTTTAAGATTTAATATTATTTTTATTTCTAAAAATCAGGTAGTGAAGGAGTTAATGGCTATATAAAGATATAGATGCAGTGTTATGTCATCTGTAATCTATCATTTAAAGTACGTTCACCCTATAGATCCATGAAGCCTTGTAATAACAAACTGATATTTATGATCTAATTATCTCCACCAACTATGAATTGATAGCCATATATATTTTTTTATTTGATAGCTTATTTTTTTAGTTATCTACAAAGTAGATAATATATATTGGTAACAGTCAGTCTTTCCCCTCCATCTGCTGGAGGGCTGCAGTCACTGACTGGCAGATAATTATGAGAAAAATAATATAACAACAGATGGAGGTCCATGGTTGAACACCCATGGCCTATATGAAGGTGAAATTACCATTGATTCAGTGTACAGAAAATTTGAATTTAATAGCAGGTAAAAACAACTGGTCCAATCTAGTTTTTTTCATTTTATAATCAGGTAACTTGTAATATCTGCATTACTATTTGGTGCTGGAACTTGATATATTGTTAAGCTTTTTATTCCCTAAAATAAGAAATGGTAAGTAATGGCACCAAAACTACTATAAATAACATATTCCGGACAGTTTATCAATAAGACTTTGCCTTTCATACACAGATTAATTGAATGATACATGAAACAGTGCTTAAAATGCTTATAATAATAATAATACAATCTTACCACCTTGGACCAATACGAAAGGTGGTACACCCCAAATTCACAATATGTTTGAAATACTAGCGGTGATCCTAATAATTAGATTTACCAGCAAACATGACAAAAATACAATCTCTATTCATCCATTTATGGGATTCAAGGTCCAAATACACATCATAACTTGCAAAATGTATTTCACAAATCACTTGCTGAAAATAATGTTAGTAACATTCTACCAGATTTGGTGTATTTTTTACCTTGAGAAGTGGCCAAATAAAAAGTGTGGTTTGACATTTTTTTGACACATTTAATTTGTGACATCACTTCTATTATTTTGATCAAAAACTAAAGTGAATTAATTGGCTGAGAACTTCATCTGAAACACTCAGCCAATAAATATTGTCCAAATAAATCAATGCAAAATCAAAGTATCTGTTGTGGAGGATAAACCAAAAGTGTCTGGTGACCCTGGTAAGTTTTATACATTATAAACAGTTTGATGACTTCCTGTGGTGCCTTGGAACTTCTGGCTCATGAACCACTATAGTAATATGTAATAGTTATGGTGCCTATACTATCACTTTGATTGAAATCAATTGAAATCAGTGAAATTGTTTTCCTATTATATTCATTTCTTGGTATCCCTTTATGAAATTTTTGTTATAACATTTTTGTATCTATCTATCTATCTATCTATCTATCTATAGTTAATACAATGTTAAACAAAAATCTGCACAACAGTCAAGCGATAAGACTTGCTTTTCCCACAGAAATCACAAATTTGCAGTGATGTTACTGATGTAGAATTATTAAAATCTTTATTAGAACCTGTATTGAATTATTGTACTAACTCCATTTTGTTCACCTTACATGACAGAATTTCCTGACAGTATTCAGTATAATGAATAGGAGATTGTATTTTCTCTCTCTAAGGACATAACTAGCCCCGGAGTTAGCGGATCTCCGTTGACTTGCAACATAGTATAATCCAAGGCCAGGAGAACAGTGACAAAATGAAATGTTCTATTCATAAAAGAACCTTGGACCAGAGCACGAGACTGACATCACTAACTATGTAAAATGATGCCCAAGCCCCCCCTTTCCACCGAGTAAGCCTCGTGCTAAAGAGCAATGACATCCCATGATGGGAGGGTGCCTCACTAGTCACTCAAATCTCTGAGCCAATTAATAATATTAATGGGTGGACACTGACATAGCCACTTAACATTTAACCCAATTAATAGTGTCTATTTGCTGTTATCTTGAATTCTTCAGTGATGTAATAATGCCTTTAAAAGGGTCTGCGCACCCATTTTCTGCCAGAAGCCATTAAACTTCTCCGAAGTTCTTTCATTAACCTGAACTTTGTGTCTCAGTGTGAATTTACTTCTGCGTGCACGCAACTTTATTATCTTTAATTTGGACAGGAACAGATAGTCATTCAAACTAATTGGTTTGCAGTAAATTATATACGACAAATTGGCGTTCCAACGTGGGGCTCTGGGCTATGTCCTGTCTGGGCAGCTGTCCAAGAAGAAGCTGGGGGGGGCTGAATCCTGGGGGAAGGAAAAGAGCCTGATCACCTCTGAGTACACGGTAGAGATTGCTGCAGCACCTAGCCGGTATGCTCCTGCCCCTGTGATTGACTTATCCCAGTGTCTGTGACTGCTGCCGAGAGGACATCAAAGTCAGGTAATAACTTGCCCAGAGTCTTTGTTTTGTTAATGATACTTAATTTACCTGCATTTAGTCTATCTGTTGCCTGGGTGTGCTAGTGGTATATGTTTTGTTCTTTCCCTCTTTTAGGATAAAGGGGGGTGGACCCGTGGGTGGTTGCCTGGGGGTCTTCTGTTGCCTGTTTTTACCCCTTTTTAGGAGTCACTTGGCCCAGACTGTTGGGAAAAAAGGGGGGGTGGACCTGTGGGGATTTTCCAAAGGGGTCCTGTTTTCCTGTTTACTTCTTTTAGGTACTGTCTAGCTAACAGTAGTAAGGAAAAAGAAGGGTTGGGGGATTCTGTGGAGGGGACTTGCCTCCTGGGGTTTCCCGGTTACGTCACTTTGATATTCTAGCTAGCCTCATTGTGTACGTTGCTCTGCTTGCAGAGGTTATGGTACCCTCCAGCTTCGAGCGCTGAGGCTGGTGGCATTCCAATTTATTTGTGGTGTGTGGATTCGGGCAGGCATTGTTGTCTCCATCACCACGGGGTAGTGTGACTTGTGGGTGGGTCCATAGGGAGCACTACGGGAGTGAGGATAGAGGTGGCCACACTTAGTGGACTGCTGTAACGAGGGAGGCATATGGATTTCGGGCCGGTGTTAGTCGTTATCCTTGGCCGCTGGTAGTGAAACTTACGAAAGTTGTTCTCCGAGCGGGGACACTACGAGATTGAGGGAGGTGGCCTTGGTGGCCACAAGAGTAAAGGAAAGGGATTACTGTTGATGCATGCACTGTATTTCAATTGAAATGTTGTATTAAATGTTGTCTTAAGTGTGGAGTCATTCAAACTCCTGGGTCTGTCTCTACTTTCACTGTTTACTTTTACTTTACTTCCTGTACTATTTACACTATCCACTCCTATTTCTCTTGAAAGAGAAGTGATTGGTCACACACTTCTCACCCCGCTCCAATCCGTGGTTACCATCGAGGGTACACGGATTCAGTGACTGGTCTACGTTTTGGGAAGACGCACTGGGAGGGACCCACCCTTCCTAGTGGCAGTCGAGCATTGTAGACGTTCTGTTTCATTTTCCTTTACCTATACTTGGGACGCTTTGTATAGGGGGATATGGGACAGGAAACGAGTAAGCCCGCTAGGGGCTGGCTCGCGTGTGATTTAGTTGAAGATAGAGAAGGTGAAGAACTGGTTAAAAATGTTGCAAAGATTGCTAAAGTGTGTAAAATTGCTGTGCCTTCATGTGGTAGATTACAGCCAGAAAGCTGGCGTAGATTACTGACAGAGAAGAAAGGCAAGCTTGCAGATAATGATTTATTACGTACTGCTGAAGCATGGTACAGAGTAGCAAAGGCTATCCAGCAGGAGGGTTGGGTAGAGGAAGAGATAAATCATAAAGGTGTAAGACTGTATGTGTATCATAAGAATTGTGTTACTGGGGCATCCTCTCAGCCAACACCCCAAGATGGTGCCCAGGGGATGTCTATTCCCAAGGTTCGGTCAGCAAAAGAAGACAGCCAGCTGACCATGTTCTCCACTCCCGAACCTCCCGTCACCCATCCCGTCACCTCCCCTGTCTGCCCAGTCCTGAATTCTGACGGATCCTTTTTCTCCCCTCCATCATCCCTAACACTCCCATCATCCCCATCCATCCCTGCATTGCCTTCTGTGACTAATCTGCCTAGTCTAAATGTTACATCCACCATTTCTTCTAACCCTCCTACCCCATCTTCTTCCACCCAGTTAGCTAACCCCTCCTCCCTTGCTATTGCCAATCCTACTGCACCCACTTCAGCTACTCCTCCTACTCCCGTCTCCACTAATCCCGCTCCGTCTTCCCCGTTACTCACTCCTCCCACAGCCCAAGTCCCCACCCCCCCCCCTAATCCTTACTCAGTTATTATGCCCTCCTTTGGTTCCGCCCTAGCCCCTGCCCAGTTTCCCTGGCCATACCCCTTACCATACCCAATGTCCTCGCCCTACCCAAATTATCCCTACCCCTTTTTCCAAGCCACTCCCCAGACACCGGTCATGCCCAGTCCGGCCCAGTCTGCCCCGGATGTGCCCACATCCAATATGGCCGCCACCTCTTCCCTTAACCCTAACGCAGCCCCTTTCCATGCCTCCAATATGGCGGCCCCCAGTCATTCAGCACCCCTGATGCCGGTACTTCCCGGTGACTACTCACCACAGGCTCATAACCTACCCGCCACCCCAGCATCTGGGAATCCCTCATTTCCCCCGGTTCTGACACCTCAGGTTATCCAATCACGTAGAAGGGCCCAAACCACAGATGAGGATGAGAATGATGAGGGTTCCCAGGGCTCACTAGAGGTTGTAGAGTCACAGCCCCACCGTTCCATAGATGATCCTTTCGGGCATGCGGGTCGGGGAAATAGGGGGGACCAGGCCCCTCCTAAATATGTTGCTTTCAATCCAACGCAAGCTAGTGCTTTAATAAAATCGCTCCCTGACCCAGAAAAGCAACCTATGCCTTTTTACCGAGGGATAGTTCAGATTCAAAAGACTTATTCCGCAGCATGGCGTGATTTACTAAGCATTTGTGCAATCAAGGCCGGGGATGCATATTGGCCCAGCATGTCCCGACACCTCAATGCTGATTTACTGACAAGTGACACTGATTACCCCTCCGGAGTAACTTTTTGCAGTCAGGTAAAGGAGTGGGCAAAGGACAAACTTGCAGATCAGGCTGCCGGCATTACTGATGTTATACAAGAGAAAGGAGAATCAGTGGAAAGATTTCATGCAAGACTGTTTCAAATGTTTACAGATTTGGGCTTTGATCGTACCGACAAGATTCATTCACAAATGCTGTCAGGTGCATTTGTCCAAGGTGTAAAGGATTATATTCGTAAGGGAATCATTGCTGCACGCCCTGAATATAAGGTAGTCTCTCTGGATACCCTACTTTTAGTTGCCAGGGGTCTAGAGTCTGCACAGGCTCCCAAAAAACAGACTTCGGTTTCTTCCTCAGCCCCTCTCATGGTGTCCCGCTTCACCCCTGTCCCAAGAGGTACCAAACCTGAGGATGGTTTCTGTTTCAATTGCAAGGCTAAAGGTCACTTCAAAAATGAGTGCCCGGAACCCAGAAAGGCGCCCAAGCCTGCACCTGCCCATAAGGCCACAGAAACGGTTCCAATTGTTAAGGAACCAGATGATTAGGAAGTTGGCAAGCCTGTGTCATTAACCCCTGTCATGGCAGTGTCTTCAGGGGATAAAGGGGGGGGGCCACTTGCCACTGTGACTTTACCCATTGAAGGACGAGAAACCACATTTTTAGTTGACACAGGTGCAGCCCGAAGTGTTCTGAGAGAACAAGACCTGCCAGATGCCTCATTCCTATCAGAAATAGATGTCTCTTGTGTTGGAGTGGATGGCCAACCAAGGCACAGTCCTTTAACAACCCCATTGCGAGTTGGCAATTACCCAAACTTGCTTGCTCGATTTGTAGTATCCTCCACATGCCCAATTAACCTGTTAGGTGCTGATGTCCTCTCACGCCTGCAGGCATCTATCACCTTCACCCCAGAAGGTCAAGTAGAATTGTCTACTCCCCTATCTGAATCAGATACCTCAGTTTTGTGCTCCCTACCTCTATTGCTGCATTTAGATGAACCCCGTGGGGAAGCAAAAGAGCAGAGGTCCAATTTTCCGGATATCATCAAAACAAAGGTACCTGCAAAATTATGGTCCAAAGGCCCAGAAGACATAGGTCATCTGAGAGTTCCACCTGTGGTGGTAAAGCTCATTCCAGGAGCAAAATTACCAAGAAAACCACAATATCCTCTAAAGCCAGCTCAGGCTGCAGCTATTTCAATTCAAATCAAAGCACTTTTGGAGAAAGGTGCTCTTGTGAAGTGTGAATCAAAATGCAACACCCCATTATTTCCTGTGAAGAAGAAAACACCAAAAGGGGAACCAGAGAAGTACAGAATGGTCCAGGACCTCAGAGCTGTCAACGAAGCAACTGTCCTGGACACCCCTATTGTACCAAACCCCCACACTCTGCTATCTGGAGTTCCACCATCTGCAAAATACTTCACAGTCATTGACCTGGCTAATGCCTTCTTCAGTGTTCCACTGGATCCGACTTGCCAATACCTGTTTGCTTTCACTCATGAAATGCAACAGTATACATGGACTGTCATGCCCCAAGGGGCACAAAATTCTCCAAGTCAATTTGCTAAAGCCATGTGCTCCATCCTGGACCCATGGCAAACAGACCACCCAGAAGTTGTCCTACTTCAGTATGTGGATGATCTCCTACTTTGTGGGGATGACATACCTACAACAGAAGACTGTTCTATTAGTCTCCTTTGCTACCTAGCAGAACAAGGATGCAAAGCTTCACGTCTCAAGCTGCAATTCTGTCAGCCAACAGTAATCTTTCTTGGACATTGCCTATCTCAAGGCACCAGACATCTCACTCGGGACCGAGTCAGAGCCGTACTGGAGATTCCACCTCCAAGAACCACAAAATCTCTCCATGCTTTTTTTAGGCCTCATTTCCTATTGCAGAGCATGGATCCCAGAAGCCTCTCTGCTTATGCAGCCACTCTATGATGCACTCAAGTCAGACCCATTCTGCCTGACAAATGAAGCACTGGACAATTTTAAAATTCTGAAACGTACCATTGCATCTGCTCCTGCTCTGGGCCTACCAGACTACACCAAACCCTTCAAATTATTTGTCTCTGAAAGACAAGGCCACGCCACAGGAGTGCTTACCCAAACAAATGAGTTAAGAGGCCGCCAAAGGCCTATTGGGTTTTTCTCCTGTCAGCTGGATATCGTGGCCAGAGGGGCCCCTTCATGCCTTAGGGCTGTTTTTGCTGCAAGAGAACTTATTGAGAAAACTGCAGACCTGGTCCTTGGTCATCCTCTGGTCGTATTGGCACCTCATGACATTTCTGCCATTATCAACCAAGTCCAGCTCAAACATGTGTCTCCTGCCAGACACCTGCGTTTACAGTGTCACCTCCTGCTACCTGACAACATCACCATACAAAGGTGTCAAGTTCTTAATCCGTCCACTCTTCTTCCACTCCCTGAGGGGGGTATCCACTATGGGTTTATCATGGACGAAACCTATATTTTTCTCCTCACTGGAACCATCAAGAGGATGCATCCTGATTTAACCTTTTATAAAGAACAAAAACCTCTCTGTGAGGGTCCAGGATATGCCTTCTGTACCACATGGTACAAGCCGAACATCTCTCCTGAACCTTGCTATGAAGATGAACTCTATCACTGGGTGGAGGTGAAACTCACTGCTCACGACTTCTATTGTGATTCTGAAGGCAATAGCATGGTCTTGATCGAACTACCTTCAGAACTCAAGTATTTATACCGTCATTGGGATACTGCTATTCCACATGTCCCTGTTACCAAGTTGAAAACAAAATCATGGAATGATCTCGGGCCCATGGCGAAATTATGGGCCACCATGGATGACTCGAAGTTACAGGAAAATGGCATTGCCAAATACCCCACAACTGACCTACTTGAAGCATGGCCACGCCATTTCCTGGAAAATGACTTTAAAAGCCTGGTCATAGTAAACAACTATGACCCAGAGACTCCTCACGACTGTTTTGAACAGATGAAAATGGAGACCATACATCTACCAACGGTGCATGAGAATCCATTGACAAATCCTGATTTCACTCTGTTTGTGGATGGTTCAAGATATGCTGATGAAGAAGGAAAATACCACACAGGATATGCCGTAACCACAACAGATGAAGTTATCAAGTCATCATCTTTACCACCAGCAATGTCTGCGCAAGAAGCTGAATTACAAGCCCTGTCTTCAGCATGCAAAATCTCCGAAGGAAAACGTGCCAACATCTACACAGATTCAAGATATGCCCTAGGTGTGGCACACGACTTCGGCCTCATATGGAAGACAAGAGGATTTCTTACTACTGCCGGCACACCAGTCAAACACAGCTCTGCAATCAAAGAGCTAATGGATGCCCTCCTACTCCCTGAAGAAGTGGCCGTATTGAAAGTCAAGGCACATGGAAAGTTGGATACAGATGAAGCAAGGGGCAACCATCTGGCTGATCAGGCTGCTAAGCAAGCAGCAAGAAATTTGCAGGAAGTGGACGAAGAAGTGTCCGGTCAAGAAGAAGTTCCTGTTTTTACTTTACAGACCCTTCCTACTGATCTAAGGATTTTGCGGGAACAGCAAGCCGCAATTACCCCTGAAGAGATCCAGAAATGGAAGAAGAAAGGGGCTGTCTTAAAGGACGGAATATACTATAACAATTTCAAATTCTGCCTTCCAAAAAACTTATACCCAGCAGTTGTCCAATGGGCACACGGACCAGCACATCTGTCAAAAGATTTAATGGCCGCCCTCATCCAGAAGTATTATGAAGCCCCTGGAATAACAACATTGATCACTAACTTCTGCAGGGTTTGTGCCATTTGCGCAAAATGCAATCCAGGGAAGCCAATCAAAGTGCCTACAAAACATCTGGCTAAGCCCATGTACCCATTCCAGAGAATTCAAATTGATCATATACAAATGCCCAAGAGCGGGCCCCATGAATATGCACTAGTGATAGTGGACATGTTCTCAGGCTGGCCAGAAGCCTACCCAGTAGCCAATATCACTGCCAAAACAACAGCAAAACGTCTACTTACAGATGTTGTATGTAGGTTTGGACTTCCAGAAGTTATTGAAAGTGACCAGGGCCCAGCCTTTACAGCAACAGTGACTAAAGAGATTTGGACTGCTCTGGGGGTGACCCTAGCCTTTCACACCCCTTACCACCCACAAAGTAGTGGGAAAGTGGAACGCATGAACGGCACCTTAAAAGCCAGAATGCTTAAAATGTCACAAGAAACAAAGATGCCCTGGCCAGAAAGTCTACCAATAGCTCTATTTAGTGTTAGGCACACACCTAGAGGGAAGCATTCACTATCCCCATACGAGATTCTATTTGGGACCGCACCCAGACTAGGTTGTTATTATCCACAACAGTTACAGCTTCAATCTGATGTTTTAGTAGACTATGTAATTGAACTTGCAAGTGCCTTGAACAAAATACATGCCCAAGTTTTCTCTTCAATTCCAGATCCCGATTTGGATACAGGTACCCATAGCCTGCTTCCTGGAGATTGGGTTCTGGTCAAGAAGTTTGTGCGGAAACATACCTTGGAACCAAGATTTGACGGGCCATTCCAAGTTCTCCTAATCACCGCAACCTCCGTCAAATTGGCCGGCCGGCCACATTGGATCCACGCTTCCCATTGTAAGAAAGTACTTGCCCCAGAGGAAGCTAGTACCGCACCACCATGTACCTCTGGTACAGTATCTTCTTAATCAGCTTAATTAAAGCTCAACAAGTAGCCATCACTAAAGATGCTAGTGGGTACACCTTCTGGTATAATTCATCATGTACCCGTGTGGCTACTTATACTTTTGACTACTGTGACATCGTAGAATGCCCATTCCCCACGTCACAGATTCAGAATATCTATAGAGATATCCCTCATTCAAAAGACCCCTATGTTTGTGTAGTTGACAAACAATGGGGGCACAACTGTAACCATTGGGGGGCGGCGGGATGGAATGCCGGGCCTGCCTGGGGTTACAAACCAAAAAGTGCCTTATCTAAAATTGATGATCACGGTAGGTCCCTCCTCCAGAGAATGACTCTAAGAAAGCCCGGAGGAGGCATACCTATGAAATTAATCTTAAACATTGAGCATCCCAGCCCAACGGATGCAGACCAGTATATAATGGGAATGTACTGGAAGAAGGGTTCCTATAATAAATTAGGACATTTCCACCTTAAAGATATGTGCCACTCTCCTGAGTGGAAAGGGACCACCCACATGGTCTCAAATCCGTTGAAACCACACATCCAATCTTTTAAAGACATGATGGCCATTGCAAATCCAACATTTGAAGATACCATGGCCGCTGAAACAGGTTTCAATGATGTTAATCTATGGTTAGAATGGATGAAATATAATGCCAACAAACATAACAGAACCGCATGCTATGTGTGTGGTGGTGCCCGGCCGCACCTGGGCACTGTGCCTTTAACTTTGCCAGTAGATATAGAAGAATGTGTTCTGAGTCTTTTTGCCTATCACTACAATTTCAATAGGTCCATATGTAAAGCATGGACAGTAGAGTATCCTCTTCTA